ACACTGTCAAAAGATTATGAGAAGACCAATGCTGGGGACATCGTGGTTCCTAAGATCTCAACTATCCATCATAGAACCACCGTGATTTTTTCCGTGCAGATAGAGATTTTCAAGATCTACAAACCGATAATTAAACAAGAAGGGAAATTAGCTGTGCTCGAAAATTTCCGAGGACCACACTTGTTAGCGATGATTCATTCTCATTTCTTTCCCTTGATATCTTACTATATATTTCTTCTCTTGTTCCTTTCTTTTCTCTTTCTCCTCTTTCTCGATTGTATGTTGTTATATATATATGTACGTGTTGTTAAGGACATTTTAACTAGTCAGATATTTTGGAAAATAAATAAACATCAGCTCGTCGAAGCGAGCTAACAATTTGGTGCCGTGACCGATCTTCTTCTATTTACTACATCGAAGAAGAACGAACTTATTAATTAATTTACTCATCCGTGACGGAAAGAGTGAAGTATCATCTCATCTTTCTAGGAAAGAGAGAATTAGATATTTATATACAAGTTAATTTCAAAATTTAATTATCAAAAGAAGGTATATTTCTTATATATAAAGTTCAAATTTTTTGTCCTTCCTTTTAAGTGCATATATATATCTAACAACGGCTACCGGTACAAGAAGAGCGATTAAAAAAAGTGGAGCAAATATTTTATCATATGAATTAATTACCAATTCACCAACACGAATAAGAAATAAAAAACAAAACAATATGTCATTTATGCAAGAAATGGAAACAACTCCGATGGAAGATCGACAAATTTATTTAAGTCAAAAAGAAGTAATGAAGAGAATAGCTGAATTTTCAGGAGAAGCTGATGAACTCGATATTGATGAATGGTTATTTGATTTAAATAATTTATTTTCATTAATGAAATTAAAAGATGAAACAAAAATTCTTGAAGCAATGGGCAAATTAACAGGACCAGCATTAATGTGGTATCAAGAAAATTTAAGATCATTCATTACTTGGAATGATGCTGAAAAAGCAATACGTGATCGATTCAAAGAATTTACATCCAACAGTCAATTAATGCAAGAATTTTTTAATATTCATCAAGAAGAGAACCAATCCGTTATATCATTTTATGAAAATGTAATTCGGAAATATAGAAAATCTCGACAATTTATTACTGAACAACAAGTTATAACAGTATTACAAAATGGTGTTAAAAATTCATTAAAAGAATATTTAATTCGTAATGAAAAAGAAATTAAAATACCAGAAGAATGGTTGCAATTAGCAAAAGAAGAAGAATATATACAAAAACGAATTCAACAACAACATAATGGTTTATATTCTGGAACAAAAAATAAAACATTTTTTGAACATATATTACCAACTGCAACAGTTCAACCAACACCATCGAATTTTCAATTGTCGAGTCAACAGCCCTTTACATCACGTCATTACTATAAACAACACCATCAACAACTACCATCATTAACAAACAATCGGACACATTCAAAACCAAATAAGTTTACAAATCGTCAACAACATCGAGAAAATTATCCAGAAAATAAAATTCAAAAATCCAATCCATGTTTAATTTGCAACAAAAACAATCATGCAACAATAAAATGTTTTTATAAGAAAAACAACGGCTGTTTTAAATGTGGACAATCAAATCATCAAATACGTGATTGTTCTCAACAACATTTTTTCGAATAAAGGGATCGGATGATGGCGACGATCCCTGTGGAGCAAAACAGTCATCAACCACAACAGCATTTAATCCTATTTTTGTCAAAATTTTATGCAACAACACTCCACAAACAGCACTTATCGATACTGGATCGGCCATCACTATTATACATCAACAACTATTAAATGATATACCACATGAAAAATTAATACCAAAAACAATGAATCATTTATCTGCAAATTGCTCAACATTAAATATTATTGGTGAAATACTCTTAGAAATAAATGTTAATGGAATAACAACAACAATTATTGCTGATGTTACAACCAATCTGGTTACAAATTTAATATTAGGTAGTGATTGGATTCAATCAAACAATGTTTATATTCTTACACCTGAACAACGAATTATGATCCAAAGTCGAGGTAAAAAAGTATCAACTCCTTTTGTAAAACCACATCTTTTAAATTATCCAGTTACTCTTATTAATCATATTACTCTTCCTCCTTTTTCAGAAAAAATAGTAGAAGCACAAGTTCAACATAACAATATGATAGATGTATTATTTGAACCAAATCCTCGATTAAAAAATAAAGCATTATTTACTGCAACTGCATTATTGAACATTGAAAACAGAAGAATAAAAATTAGTATAATTAATGCAACGAATCGACAACAAACACTTTCCGAAGGAACCAAATTAGGTATAGTGACACAATTATCTTCTACAATTGGTGTTACCATACCATCAAATTATTTGATAGAACGCATTCCGGAAGGAAAAGCGTGTAAAGAGCTCATTCCTGAAGGGAAAGGAGCGAATAAATCAAATAAATTAAATGGTAACAACATACCAACTATAACACCACATGGAAAACAACATCAATGTCGTAAATGTTATCAACATTTTGATACTAGCAATGAATTATTCAAGCATCTTAGAAATCAATGTTATCCTGACGAAATAAGACAGCAAATAAATAAATTAACTGAACATATTAGCGATGATAAACAACGAGAACAAATTTTAAAAATTTTATGGAAATATGGAAAATTATTTGACATTAGTGAACCATCAAAAATTGATATAATCTTAAAAAATGCTATTGATACTGGTACACACCGTCCTGTTCATACTCCACCATATAGAAAATCAAACAAAGATCAAGAAACCCTAAGAAAAGAAACAGATAAATTATTAAAAAATGGAATTATTGAACATTCAACATCACCATGGTCTTCACCTGTCGTTTTAGTAAAAAAGAAAGATGGAACAACAAGATTTTGCGTCGATTATCGTCGCTTAAACCAAATTACAACAAAAGATGCTTTTCCATTACCAAGAATTGATGATATTTATGACCAATTAACAAAAGCAGCATATTTTACAAAATTCGATTTTAAAGCTGGATATTTTCAAGTACCATTAGACAAATTAGATCGACCAAAAACAGCATTTTCAACTCGAGATGGACATTTTCAATTTAAAGTATTACCACAAGGTCTTACTAATGGACCACCAACATTTCAACGAATTGTTAATCAAATATTAGGTCCAAATAGGTGGAAACATGTACTCGCTTATATCGATGATATTATTATTTACTCGCAAAATTTTAATGAACATTTAAAACATATTGAAGAAGTATGTTCATTATTACATGAAGCAAATTTTAAGTTAAATGTTGATAAATGTGAAATTGCAAGAACAGAAATATTATTTCTTGGACATTTAATTAAAGCTGGTACTATTAAACCTGATCCAGACAACATCCGTGGTTTAACTGATACACGTGAACCGACATCACCTGAAGAAGCATTTAGATTCGTCAAAGCAGCAGAATATTACCGAAAATTTATTCCAAAATTTTCCACCATCGCTGCACCGTTACACAAATGTTCTCCAGCAACAGTACAACAACAAAAGAACAATAAAAAATTAAAATTTGAATTATCTGCTGAAGCTAGAACAGCATTCCACCAACTCAAGAAAATATTAACAACTGATCTTATTCTTGATTTACCTGATGATACATTAACATTTAAATTACAAACCGATGCTTCTGTAGATGGAATTGGTGCTGTTCTATTACAAATTACTTCCAATGGTGATCGACCATTAGCATATATGTCAAAGAAATTAACACAAGCACAAATTAAGTGGCCAACAATTGAACAAGAATGTTATGCAATAGTACAAGCAATAGAAAAATGGGATAAATATCTTCGTGGACATGAATTTATATTAGAAACTGATCATGAACCATTAATTCATTTTACAAACAAAGAACAATTAAATAAAAGATGTGAACGATGGCGATTAAAATTAGCTGAATATCGATTTAAGGTGAAACATATTCAAGGTAAGAAAAATCATATGGCAGATTATCTTTCAAGATCACCAGTCGACATAGCTGAAGAAGATATTGAAGAACGAATTCAGTATGAATCAACATCAACACAAACAGATTTATCATTTTCATCATTAAATGATAATTGGATTCCATTAAAAATAACAACAGCAATTACTAGAGCTCAAGCCAAATTACAACAACAAGCAACGGCAACACCATCTATTAAACCGACAGATGGAAAAATTAATGAGCTCATCCCACAAGGGAAAGTAGCGACTGATGAAGAATTGATAATCAAACCATCAGATGAAAATCCAAATAAGATCATCCCATTTGATATGGATGACTTAAGAAAATGTCAAGAAGAAGATAAAACAATTCAAGAAATAAAAAAGAATATTAAGAATAAAAAACATTATTTTATTGAAGATGGAATATTATTTAAAAAACAACAACTACCACTTCTATCTGTACCATATGTTCCAGCAGGACGAATACGTGGTGATATATTAAAAATTTATCATGATACACCTGCTAATGGAGCTCATTTTGGACGTGATAAAACAGTAAGGAAAATTCAAGAACGTTATTATTGGCCAACAATGATAGCAGATATTAAAAATCATTTAAATTCATGTTTACCATGTGCACAAAATAATTATCGTCGTCAAAAATTACCAGGAAAATTAAAACCAATACCACCACCCGAAGGAATATGGAAATTATTAAGTATGGATTTTCATGGTCCAATTACTCCAACATCAAAAAAAGGAAACAGATATATTATATCTCTTACAGACGTTTTATCAAAATTTGTTATTGCAAAAGCTGTTCGAGATTGTTCAGCAGCAACAGCAGCAAAATTTCTTATTAACGATGTTATATTAAAATATGGCACTCCAACATGTATATTAACCGATAATGGTACTCATTTTACTTCTCAAGTTATGAACAAATTATTTGAAAATATTGGAGTCACTCATCTTTATTCCACAGTATATCATCCACAAACTAATGGACAAATTGAACGATTTAATGCTACGATGGATGGAAAAATTGCCGCCTTATGTAATGAACGACGCACGGATTGGGATGAAGTATTACAATTTGTTACATTTAATTATAATACATCAATACATGCAACAACAAAACAAACACCATTCGAAATGATGCATGGAAGACAAGTTACACTTCCATTTGATCAACAAAAAGAAATTATTTCGCTCACACAAGATCCAGAGCACAGTCAAAAAATTAGAATATATCTCGAAAAATTAGTAAATGAAGCTCGAAACAATATTATAAAAAATCAACAACAATATAAAGCTCGATATGATTTACATAGACAAGATTTATCATTAAAACTCAATGATCTAGTTTTGGTAAAAACAAGAAACATTAGAAATAAATTTGATATACGATATGAAGGTCCATTTAAAATTATTAAACAATTAGGAATTAAAACATTTATTGTCCAACATGTTAAAAAATTAACGTTAACAAAACAAGTGACAATGGATGTTATCGTTCCATTGGTGGAACGATGGAATTTAATCCAATAAACACATCCCGGGAGGGAAAGATGTGTATTAGATGGCACAATTAGTAAAGTAAAAATAATTATCATTAATAATTAAGTAAAAATGATTCAGTTTGATTCAGCAGTCCATGCCGGGGAGACAGAAATTCACCTTCTCACTGACAAGGAGGGGCTGTCGAACTCGAATATTAAATATTTTTTTTTCTTCTTTTTAATACTTAATACGAAATGATATATTATTCAATCATAATGTGTAACAATCGATGCACTTTAACAGTATGCGCGCACTGTTTGGCGCAAAGAATGACGCACGTGGAACCAGTTCACAACTTTACTATGATTAAAACAAGATTATGTTATGTTCACATCTAGCACATCAAACGAAGAAAAATTTATATATATCAATTTTTCACCATCGAATATTTAACATAAATATTTACTTATTGATTATCTTAATGATATGGTTTATATACAAATGATTCAATTGATTTACATTTTGTAAAATCATCGAATAATAATTATTTCAAACTCAACAAACATTATTATGCTATATATTACCAATATCGAAACAACAATATACAATTATTTATCCATATAGTTGTTTAGAAATAAAAATAAATGAAAAAATTAATTTATAGCTTTTTCAAGGTATACCATCAACAGATATTATCTATTATTTATTATTCCAAAATGAATTAAATGATAAACAATATTTATCTAAACTAATTAAATTAATGATAAAAATTGATGGAAATGGAAACCGACAATGTTCTTGTTTACAAAAAAGATGATAAAATTAAATTAAAATTATTCTCGTGAAAATTCTATACCCAATCAATGGATACAACTCTTATAGAAGATCTATTACTAATGGATTTGCAATTTCAATTATTTCATGTTTACCTTGAAGATCATTATGTTTATGTCTTAAAGTTTTATTTAGCCATTTATCAACGTTTGAACAAAATAACCCAACAAATATAAGAGAAATTCAAATAAAACTTGAAAATATGCAAGATGAACTCAACCTTGATGTGTGGGGACACACATCCAATATGGGAGGGGAGGAATGTTAGCGGTGATTCATTCTCATTTCTTTCCCTTGATATCTTACTATATATTTCTTCTCTTT